TGTGCTGTGCTGTGCTGTGCTGTGCTGTGCTGTGCTGTGCTGTGCTGTATTGTGCTTTGAAGTACTGTATTGTGATGCCAATAAAGACAATTCTGTATATGTTTTCCAATTTTCTAAGGGGGTACTGATTTCTATTGTTTTTCCTCATTAACTATTCATATTTTTCGAATAATTTGTATTGGCAGCTCCGCTCTGCGTAATAATGTTAACTAGTTATTATACAGTCACAGATAAAATCTATGGGATCCATTTTATAAGTATGCTACTTTACTTTCTACCTCAGGAAAGATTGGAGGGATCTTTTTGACATAGTTATTTGTAAAGCATCAAAACCAGGTACAGTTATTACTAGGATATTGTGCATTGATGTAGTTTTGTCAGCATTGTGCTTATTTGATTTTGTTTATTGATAGGATTTTTTGTTCCTTTTGATTCTGGGAAGACAACTCCTTTTTATGAAATTGGTGAGCTGATAAGTTTTTTTATGCTTTATGTGATAATGATGATGATGATAATGATGACGATGATAATGGTGATGGTGATGACAAAGATGTTGATAGTGATGATGGTGGTTTGATGTTKATGATGATGATGATGATGACAAAGATGTAGATAGTGATGATGATGATGGTGATGGGAGCAATGATGGTTGATGTTGATGATGACGGTGATGATAGTGATGATGGTGATGATGATGGTGATAATGACAAAGATGTTGATAGTGGTGATGATGGTGATGATGTTACTGATGATGGTTATATGATAATGATAATAATAATGGTGGCAATGTTGCTGCTGATTTCAGTGGTGATGAAGTTAATGATAATTATGGTTGTGGTGATTATGATGACGATGATGATTATGATGACGATGATGGTGATGGGGAGGCTCTTGCTGATTGTGATAGTGATAGCTGTGGTGGTTATTATTTATGTATATGATGATGATGAAGCAGCAGTAAGGGGGACTCGCGGTCAATGTCAAAGATTTACGGGTTTTACAGGCGGTTTAAGGAAGGCGCCGGCAGCGGGAAATACCCGCGCGACAAGTCCTTACTGCTGCTGTGTTGGGAATCAAAGATATCGCAAACGGAGGTTAAGATATCCTTTACATATAG